TCAATAGGAAAGGATTTAACCAATATTTGTTTAGCTAAAGGGTCCACCTCCTGCCTTCGAACTGTATTCTGTATTCTAGTAAAACACCACGACAATACGCGTATCCTTAATAAGAAACCTGAGAGCAATGCTTGGAGGCTAAGCTCACATCCACACTGTGTAAAGCTGCTTCTTTTCACTGCAACCTAGACAACTTGTGACTATGCAGCAGTTGATTCTGGCCCCTCTAACATACCTGCAGCCCTATTTTCCACACACTCCCCTTTCAATTTAATGTACCATAAACAACACAAGAGCTGTGCACACAAACACCAGCACCAACTTTCAGAAAATGAAAAGCAGTGTGGCATAAGAAAGTACAGGATTACTCGAGGGTACAAAGTCTGCTGGGACTTAGAGACAGTGAAGCCTGGGGCAGTTTTGCCCACATTTCCTTCTGGGAATGTGAGCTTAAGTGAAATACCTCTAGAACCATGTCCAGATTCTCCCTTATAACAAAGCAGTAACAGAAGAACTAATTGCAGAGGCCCACAAAACCAGAAAATACATTAAGACAATTACTGTGGACAATCAGGGTCCAACTCTATCCCTGACATGCTTACTTAGTACCATTTATGTATGTTATGGTATTATCTAGATATGTACTACCAAGACAGAAGATTATGCTAATATTTGAGCAAATGAGTGCAATGATCTCTCACTGGAATACTATGATTTTACTGCAGGAAACCATTTGGAACATTGTTACATGGTTTCTCAAATACTGTCTTAATGTCAATTTCTAAACACCTTCTTTGTCTTGACTATCACCTGTATCTGATGCTGAACTACTGGTTACTTTGCAAGGGTAAAAGCACACTGCAGTAACAGGAAACATCTTTGTTATTAGAATTGTTCATGTTTCACAGATAATATGGGTTGTTTCCTACCTATCATACTTCACATCAATTTTTGCTTCCAACTGTCTCCTCCTGTTTCCTCTCTCTAAAAGCTCCTTCTTCTGTTGCCTGAGCTCATTGTCTCTGCGTTCCAGATGTTTCTGTCTCTCAAACAATGTAGTCAAACGCATATCCAATGACTTTAACACGTTACTGATGTCCTGAAATAAAAGAACACACACCAGTAGCATTCTTACTACAAACATACAGTACTAACACATGCAAGTAGGCTACGCTTACTGCACAGTAAAATGCACATCACAGCACAGAAATAAACTCCTACCTGTTGCTGGTTTTCCAACTGTTGTCTTTCATCTGTATCCACTGAACTAGTGAGAAACTGTGCTGCCCTCAGGGGTATGTTAGTAGTCAGGGTTAGCTTTGTGTAAGCAGATACTTTAACAGTGTATTTTTCTTCTGTTGTGTATATCTGCTTAAGTTTGGTTTCTTGTATGACCTAAAAAACACACAAAATTATTAATCTGACAAAAACATTCCTTAAGGCAATGCTTTTCAGAACAAGGAATAAACTAGCCAAAATCCACAGAAAGAACTTCAGCTTATGCAAGACTCTGACTTGTTAAGAAGCCTTTGCAAAAAGATGATGCTAAGTTTAATGCATCATTAGACTTGTAATTCAGACCTGTCAGCAAAGAACTGTTAAGATACTGTCAAACAGAGTATGTTACCATAACCAGTTAAACAGGTTCTGATTATTCTGATATTACAGATAGACACTGGAAAAAACTGTCTTTGTACTGCAACATGAACAAGGATTGTACTTGCTGTAGATGCATACCATGTAAATGTAGCCCAAAGTACTTAAATAGATGAAGTCATAAGGTGAGCTGTAATGCATGAGCTTTAGTGAAGCAAATGCATCTGTACAGAAAAAAAAAGGTCTAAAAACACTAGACTTACTATTTTTAAGTTACTTGTGTCAAAAAGGATATTACAAATAACCAAAGATTTATCATAATGCAAGGTAGTATAGTACTTCAAAAAGATATAAAGTGTACAGTAAACCAGGAACAGCAAAAAGCCTCCACAGGACAACATAAATTTGACTTAAAGATTCTTTCAGTTTATATACACAACAACAGCAATATTCTGTTGATCTGGTTCCTGGACACTGAAAACTGTGTTTACTCTGCTTTACAGCTCAGACCACGGTTGACAACATTTCCATCCTAGCCATTTTTCCACATGCTCAGCTCTATGAAACAGGTCTCATTTTAAACTAAATCTTTCCCTGGTATGTGTGAAACAAAATGCTGCAAACAATGCACTTCTCAACCAAAAATAATTAAACCAAAGAAAAAACTACAAAACTGAACTCAAGATAGTGCCACATGCAACCTATTTGGAACAGTGGTTCATCTTTGCCCCTAGACCAGTGATTTTTCACTTGCTGCCCGCAGAGTTCTGGAAAGGAGGAAGTATCTAAGGAGTAACTCTGACTCCTTTACAAAATGTAACTCCAAGACCTCTTACACAGGTAATCTGCTTCATCAGGTCATAAACACAATGTGGTAGAAGAATTGCACCTTAAAGATGAAAAACATTAAGATCTTTTAATCTAGGACTCCCTCCACTTTTACTTTCATCTTACTCATTCTTGGAGCCTCAGAATCATAGAAGGTAAGCAGGAGTAACAGCTATCCCAATAAAACAGAAGTTGTTCTCTTTTTGGACAGCCTGTTCCCCGAGCTTCATAAAAAAGGAACTCTTACTTTTCTCAGAGAGCCCAAAGTAGTCTTCTGAATTCAAAGAAGAGTTCATTCTTTGTACAAGACAGATGACCAGCATAGGCAGAGAAGTGAATAAGGATTTAAGCTGAAAACTGTCATGTGTGTTACCCATTATAATCCAGCAACGATGAGATTGCAAGAACCCATAAAACACTAAGGCTGGGAGATTACTCCTAGTGGGAGCTCTCAGCCCATTTCTAAGAATCCACAAGGTTTACACACTGTTTATCACATCAATTCTAACTGAAGCTATACAACTGTATTTGCCAGAAACTGAACACCTTAATGTATTTAAAAAAAAAACAAACAACAAACCACAACACCACAAAAACGCAGCTTCTACTTGTTGCTTTAAACACAACAGGTCAGCATTGTCATGGACTACTAACTGACTAAAATTCTGCCCAGAATATCTCAGGCACTTAAAGTAGAAGTTATAACAAAACAACTTAATATAACTGACTTGGAACAGTATGCAGGTGAAAGATACATTTAACTTTCTGTTAAGTACTGCAATAGATTGATTAAATTTGTTAAAATGTCTTGCAATATGTTTGTGTATAACGAAATGTTCTCACTTTTAAAGACCAAATAAGAGGCTAAAGCAATTTTTTGTTTTCTCCACATTAACTTGAGAAAGAATTTCCAAAATAAAACTCTAGAGCACAGGTATCTCACCCTTTCAATCATGCTTCTGGTCTTCTCTGTTCCCACAGGGACATCATGAACATGGTACTGGGAGCAAAGATAACTCATCACAGGATGAGGAGCATCAAATAACTCTCGTAAATATGAGAAAAATCCATATTGGCTGAAAAGGAGAAAAAAGCATCCAGCAGAAATACAATTTGGCAGGTAAGCAAGCTGAAGTTATTGAAGTGTCAAAAGAAGCCCTGCTAACCCAGAATTGAACTGGTGAAAGTTTGATTTGCATAGGAAATTCTAATATATAGCAACAACACAAGAACATTGTATTTAAAGCCATTCCCCACCGATATAATCTGGCACGTACCGTAATTCTTCAATAGGCCTTGAAGGTAACCTTTCAGCACATGATTCAACAGGCGCGCATACAGCATTCACTCTTAGTTTCTGATGATCACGCATCTAAATAAAGATTACATTAGATTATTTGGTAAAAAAGACCAGAAAAAATTCACTATACAAAAAAGTATTTATTCTTGATTCACAGAATCAGAATTATTTTAAACTGACAACATCTGGAAGAGCCTACAAAAAACCACTCTGGCTCAGGCATGACTGACTTGAGTTTGCTAAAAGCCAAACTCAGTTAATGTCTCTCCATGAAAATACCATGCGTTATGAGAAAACAAAAGCAATCAAAGAAATCCAGACCCAGGTTCTCAATCTAAATAGCCAAGCTGGATATAACAAGGAAGCTCCCGCTTTCAGGTTGTATAGCCATCTTGCACAGATAAAGGCAGATCACTGGCTACCAAGGCTCTGAAAAGCCTCATCCTAACAGGGCAGAAAAGATTGAGGATACAAACAAAAGATCAGTTTAGCTGGTTAAAGCAGCCTTACACTGGGTTCTGCAACCAGGGAGGCAAGATAAGCACTCAGAACCACAGATTATCACCACTGCTGTTCACGTATATAGAAATAACTAATTATGTGAGGGGCAGATAGGCCTTAAAAAATTGCAGGACTGTTTGTCATTAATCACACTATTCTGTGGATAGTAGCTGGGAAGCATCACGACAAGTTAATGCCATATCTTGTAGCTTTTTTCTCTTGTATCATCTATCTGGCTCTCAAAGGAAACAATCTCCTTATCGGTCCAGGGAACAGCAGCATTAAGAAAAATATAAGCCTGATTTGCTGCTTAGACCATTGTCTTATCACAAAAGATTCCTCTTGCCTCTTTAGTCCAGAGGAATTGGAAAAGCTTGGTACTAAATTTGTAGCTTCCCGCTCTTTCTTTTTCTCTTATACACAATATTTTCTCCTCTGATTATTGCCTTGTCAAGGAAGACAAAAGTAATTTCTAAAAAGAAGTATTTTCTTAATATTCCTACATCCCTCCAGTTGGTCTAAGTTTCTTTTAAAAGAAAAAACCACACAGAAGAAAACCTTAAACTAGAAGAAAACCTTTGAATACTTTGTATTAGCTATTGTGATGATCTTGCCATTCAAAAGTTAATAAATACAGACTTACTTGGTAGACTCCAAAGCTTAGGGTTCTTACACCAGTATTCAATAAATTTTTAAAATTAGCGCCTACTTGCCTCCACAAGAAACATTTCCATATCTTCTTGACTCTCAAAAGCAAAAGCCCTCATGTCATTGGCCGTAATGTGATTTTCAACATATTTAGCATGTCTATTGTCTTTCATATTGATCTGATAAAGAAAGGTAATGAGAAAGCAATTTCATATAACTGGGCTTAACATCCCCCCGCCAAAACATTTTAAGCAGTCAGATGATACCCAAGCCTACATTTAATGAACACAAAGACAATGTTTAAATGTCTTTAAATAAATATCCCCTGTCTTTTTGCAACCATTTCTCTTCGGAGGAAACCTGCAGTAACTCACATGTTATTGTGTTTAGGTTTTTTCCATCCGTATCCTTTCTCAGCATTCCTGGAGCTATTACTGTCTCCACCATACCACCTCCCCCCTCTTCTGCTCCACCCTAACTTTACAATTGCAACCACCACCCTCTCATGTCTACCAGTACTGCTAAAGGTATCTCATTGTTTAGAAGCAATTAACCTAAGGAATTAAAAACAGGAAAAGCCACACTCCACAAATTATACATATGCAGCTCCCTTTGATTTGGACACAGTGAACATCACCAAATACAAATACAGCATTGAAGCCCTAGAAAGACAGAGATTCAAAGACTGATTGAATGATCTCCACATTCTAAAAAAAAAAAAAAATCCATTTTTAAGATGGATGAAGCTTTTCATATCTGAATGAAATGTTACTGCTAGAATTCTTCAGTAACTCTCATTAGTAATTAGACATAATGTCACTACACTTGACATACAATGGCAACAATACACAGAACTACACACAATTGCATAACCTCAAGCTAGCCAAACCCTGGGTACACTTCCTAGCAACTTGAAAGACTGAATTTTTAAGTATGAGACTAACTTACACTGTATCAAAGAAAACAAATTCAGACCTGAGTGGGTGTTACAGACATTAATAAGGCCTTAAAAGAACAGCAAATGCATCCTATCAAGGCATTTGTAAAATTAACTTGATGTGGTCTTCCAGGAAGAACTGACAGTTCTGGTAATAACAGGAAATGCTTGCCATTTCATACTAAAAAGTAATTTTGAGCAGTTCTAGTGCATGCACAAAGCGTAAGAATTGGTATACAAACATCCAACATTCAACTAATTTAAATTGTAGCAATACACTATTAAAATAAGCTTGCAATTCTGAAAAGGAAGAGGAGTGTACTGGAGTTCTTCATCCTCTTCACCTTACATGGAGCACACATTGCAAGAGACTGGGATAATGGTGGAGGAATACACTAGAAAACCAATAGTGTCTTTGAAAATTCAGCCCTGCTATTGCTAGCAAGTCCAGCATCTGTCGAACCAAAACACAAAACAAAACTAGGGACTGATTAGGTGTTTCTGTGTCTGCAATTGGCTGTGCAAAGCAAACCAGAAACATACCTAGTGATCACAGTGACATGTAACCATTGCTGAGCAGGTTTGCTGTAAGGGGAGGTATTCAACTGTAACTATCACTGCTTTTTTAAGCAGCAAGTAAGAACTATTTAAGTCTAAATAATTGGCTGTACCACAGAGGAAATCTGCAATGGGCACCCTAATAAAGGATGCACCTTGAGGAAAGGGGAAGGAACCACCCCATCTTACTCAATGTCGAGTATTTCTACATTGCCCATGGAATTAAAGTTAAAAATAGTTCATAATGCTAATGTATCCTGTATGTAATTGGCAGCTCATTTCAAGATGTGTCTTGAAAATCCTAAAAGTCATCCTCGAAGTATTGCAAGGGATAAATAAAAGAAATATTAACTGGTTAGAGTGATATGCAAGTAAATTTTCTTACTTCAAGCATCATGGGTTCACAAACTTTTTTTTTAAACTTGTCTTTGTTCTTTCTTAGCCACATAAGAGCAGAGTGTGTGTCTTGGAATTTCACTTTAAGACTCTCTTCCTTCATATTCATTATATTATTAAGTTGTCCAAGGCGATCAATTATTCCTGTAATTTAAGGCAGTTTCTTGAACAGTCCATAGCAAGTACACATTATAACCAGCATTTTCCAGTATTTATTTACTATGCTACTCCAGCAATAATGTTGATAGGAGATTGTAAGAATTAAGAGTTTCTCTTCTCACCATCAGGATGTTGCTTATTCTAAAGAAATCTTAAGATCTATTATAGCGTAAAATTTAAAATAAAATGAAGACTTACCTAAATGATAACAAAATGTGGTAGCTCAGCAAAACCAACAGAATTTAGACCTAAAACACCTCTCTCCAAAACTTATTCTGCCTTTGTATTTAAAGCCAAAAATGCCCCAAGAGGAAGGAGATAGTGGGACTATCAACACGAAAACTGAGTGTTATTTCATGCTTGCAGAAAATAAAATGAGTGACAATAGGCTGTGTGCTAAAGCATTTGCTGTTCAGGGGCAGAGACTGAGTACTTTCTGTGCTTCTCAAGGCAAAATACATAGTCTCTCCTTCCCTAGGTCACTTGGTCTCTCTTCACCTCAGCTTCTTCTTGGATTCTATGACAAGTTAAGTGCCACATAGATAGGTACGTGCAAATGTACTACACTCACTGAGGAATATATACACCACCACCCGCCAAGCTGTAATTTTTGAATTTTGTTTCTTAGGAAAAACTAACTGTAAATCCTAGGCTAGTATGAAGGCATTTATTATAATTAAGGTTAGCTCAAGTTCATCTAGAAAGGACAAAAGCAGCATCAGTAGCTAATATACTGCCAAAGAAATACTTTTAAACACTGCATCTTCAAAAGCAAACTGGTTTTTGCTTCAGATTTGCTTTTTAACAGTACACACCTTAATTTAACAGAAAAAAAAGAAACTGGCAAAAGAGTCTCCTTAACGGAGATCAGAGGAAAATAATTTTTTTTGAAAGGTAGTTTTAAGTTCAATTGCCACTTCTGAATCTTCTTGTTCCTTCTATTTTGAAAGCAGCTTCTGTTATTTTTCATAAAACTGGTAACAGACAAGAGGACTGCCATACATGTAAGATACAGCTATGAGGCTTGAGGTAAATGTATCAAATTATTTCACTACAGCAGGACACAGATTCTATACAAACAGTCATTAAAAAAAAAAAACAACAAAACCCTAAGTAACTTACTTTTGTTTTCCCTCTCTTGGTTCATTTTCTCTGCTGTTAGATCACTGATATCAGTATCAGTATTTGCCCTTTCTTCTTGTAATTTTTTCAGCTCATTATTAACAGCATCAATTTGTGGCTGAAGATTCTCGTTGACTGCCATTGTACTGAGCTCATTCTTCCAGTCCTCTATCATCTTCTGAATATTGCATATTTTCCTCCGTCTGTCCATTTCTTCATCTTTTTTCATTCTCAAAGCTTGATGAATTTCTTTAATCTAAGAATTTTTAGTATTTCTAGTATTAGAGGAATTTAGTATACAAAACCTACGACAAATAACCAGGATACCTGTGCAAGAGGTATTAAATGCTGATGTAACTATGCACTAAAACCATAAGGATCTGTTATAGTTCAAATAGCCCTATAACAGCTGAAGAACTGACTAGATTTTGTTAAGATTCAGCAAGTTAAGCAAGAATAAAAATCAAGCCTTTAAATCAATTTTCGGAGTTCCTTCATTTTTTACAAAAACAGATGCTTCAAACTTAAGATCTTCCTTAACACATTGGAAAGTTAGCCTAAGAGTACATAAAAACTATAGCACAACACAATGTGCAACATTGACTCTGCACCCTTATACATGTAGTTACATATATTTCTTGTCCAAGTGCTTAGATGAAATTCTGTAACTGTTTACAACCTATCTTTGCATTTTCTTTTTTAAAAAATGCTGGTCATATACACCTAACAGAAGGAATAACCCTAGCCTGTCGCATAGAGTATCTGAGGGCATGTTTAATGGTGACTGCAGTACTATACTATGGAGGCTGCAGCTTTTCAAGGGAAGTCTGTAATATATAGTGTATATACACACACTGCCTATTCCTAAGTTTGTTACATGAAGGTAACTGATTTTACATAGCATACACCTATTCCTTAGTGACACCTGTTTGACTAACAAGCATTTTAAAGGTTCGTTTGTAATGGAGGGAATGAAATGGGCAAGCACTTGCAACCTCTTCAGAAAAATTTCCCTCTCCGTTAACAGAAAGGCAGACAAAAAATCCTGTATCTGTGTTTTACTGCAGAATTTAAGCGGCAGCATTCCACCTGAATGCAGCACATGCTATAGCTAGTACTGAGTTAATATATTAACTAAGAAACATCAAAAGTAGTCATAAATATCAAGACTCTTACTTGTTTATCTTTCATCTCCAAAGCATCTTGTTTCTGTTTACATTTTTGAGAAATGTCTTTGATTTCAGCAGTCTGCGTACAGTAAAATATTTAAATTAGATAGTCATAAATTCAGTTTTAGTTGTATTTGTAAAAAGCACTCATATTTTAAAGAATGTTCTGTGTATGCATAACTACTTCACATTTTATTACTGACAAAGTCATACTCACCAGCTGCTTCTTATTCTTACCTGTATGTGTAACGTATATTTTCGGCAATTTGTGAAGAACTGAATAATGGCATATAAATTGTTCACAACCATTCAGGTATAGATCTGCAAATTCAGGCATGACAGATGGAAGAATTCTCCTAATCTAACCTGAAATTAAATTAACTCCATCCTCGATTTCAGTAAAAGTGTTACATTCAGATCCTTACACTTATAAAATATTCTTGCCTCTTTTTCAAAAAAACAACTTTACCAAGGAAATCTTATACTTACACCTTTCTTGCTCTAAGTTCCTAGGCACAGGATAGTCAAAACAGAATTTGTCAAAGTCACCCTACCTCTGAAGTGCCTTGTGTTAAAGCTCTATCCTGCACAGACGAGCGTGACAACTTGTTGGCTCATTTGTAGGCACCAATGTCTCTAATTTTTCTCTATCAGTCTCAGCTTCTATAGAGTTGTAGAATAGTATAGGTTGGAAGGGACTTCTGGGCATCACCCGCTCCAACCCCGTGCTCAAAGAAGGTTTTATTAGGTCAGGTTGTTCAGGCACTTACACAGTTGAGTCCTGAACACAGTGGAAGTCTACTATGTTTTCACTACAAACTTAATTCCTCCTTCCTTGAACACTCAAGGCTGAAAACAGTACAAGCAGAATACCAGAATGCTGCAGAAGGATGGAAGGACTGTAAGTAAATTCCAGTGCAGACATGGAAACAAACACACACAGCACTCTTGCTGGAATGCCTTCCTACAAACTGAGTCACACTAAAAATGCTAAGACGCATCAAGAATGGAGAAAATAAAACTATGCAGAATCTCTTCCCTCCCACAAGCTGGAAGATGCACAAAAATTTAAGACCCTGACTCTAACAACTGTTTGCATGAAGGCAACATGTAACAATACATCTTGGTCTTGCAGCTGACTGCTATGCAGTATTGATTCTGTGATGCTCTCTCCAAAGACCTCAGGTAGGCACTCTGAAGAAGCAGCTCTCTCCCAGAAAACTGATGCAAAATATTCACAAAACAATGCTGAAGGCTCTCAAAATCAGGACACTAATAAGGAACTGGAACTCAATTTTTCCATTATTGTTATATTTTCAGTTATATATTTATGTATATCTACCTTACAGAACAGATTAACAACTGTAATTGTCTTTATGGTTTACACGCGACAACCACACCACACTGCTTTATATGTCAAATATAGCTAAAAAACCAAAAACTTGCATTGCATAGTCCACCCTGTTCAAACGCGTTTAAAGAGGCTAAAGCAGAAACTATGCTAGGCTTCTCTCACAGAATTTTATCAACCTCGTTCTACAAAATGGGATTATTTTTTTCAGAATCTACACATTCTACGCACCACCCAAAGCACAAAATTTTACTCTGAATTCTCAGTCCAACCAAATCCTTAAAAGGGTTTTAACACAGAGAGAGACAAGAGAAACAGCCTTGATACATTTATTTCTTCCTGGATTTAGCTCCACCTTACTTTCAGTCTGGCTCCTTCCAGGCAAAATCTCTAACACCATCCCTGGCTTTTTGACAACAAAGTGCAAACAAGACATAATGAAAAGGTGGTTTATCTCTGCTCTCATACATATTTCCACAAGCAAAGAGCAAGATCAAGAAGCAGCCAGGATTACAGTTATTTGATAACGGATATAAGCCTGGACCAAAAGGCCTGAAGACAGTTACCAATTACGTTCCCTACAGGTCTGTGTGTCTGAAGTAGAGAGGACTTAAAATGCTAAACCACTTTTTTTCAAGCCAAATTTCAATTTGGCATTAAGGGAAAACACCAACTTTGGGGCCAAAAATAGTGGGTTTTTTTTAAAATATAAAATCATTCATTAATCAACTCCTGCTGGCTTACAGTATAATTATCTGTGAAATGCTCACCAAATGTTTGCATATACAAAGATAAAATTCTAAGTTACAATAAATTCAAGTAGTATCTATGAAAAAGTGAAGAACTAATAAAGAAGTAGCAATTTAAGCAATTTTAAGGTATGGTACTTAAAAACCTTGAGCTTTTGCCTTCTTTCAAAACTATCTCCTGACAGTGCAACCAGCACTAACTCTCCTTTAAAAGAACTTAATTTTCACAGCCCAACTAAGAAGCTATGTGGAAGGGAAATAGATCTCATGTCCTGGGTTACAGTGTAAAATGTGC